CTGCTGAAGTCTTGGCTCCTGGAGGGCAGGAAGTGTGGATTTTACTTCCCTAAATCTTCACTGATACCTTGGCTGAGCTGGCTGGGCAGCCTGAGAGGCAGCATTCCTCCTGACAGAGCAGTTGATTATTGACAGAGACAAACCCCAAGAAACACGCTCTCTGCCTTCCAAACACTTCTCCTTTGTGCCTAGCATTTAGATATTCACAGGATTTTGTCTCATCTCTAACTCTTGGAGAGAAGTGGAGAAGCCCTTGTGTGGGTGACCAAAGTGACCCAGCTAGTGTTTGTGCTGACACAAAAGATAACACTAATAGTGGCTACCACTTGCTAAGTGCCCACCCACACTAGCCCAGGGTGAAGAGCTTCATGTATGTTTCCTTACTGAAGTCCCCCAAGCAGCCCTAGGAGATAGGTTAGAGTGTCATTGCCTTTTATAAATAAAAAGCTGAGCATCAGGGAGGTGATGTGACTTACTCAAGGCCTTCCAGCTGGGAAATAGCAGAACTGGTCCTAACCCAGGAGCTCTTGGTTCCTCAGGTTCTAGCTTTTGACCCAGGTTTTCCAAAGATTGATCCATGCCCTTTTCAAGTTACTGCCCACATCCCCTCACCTTCAAGCACCCAGGATCTTCCCTCCTCCCACCCTACCCACCACCTGCCTGTTGTCACACTCACCTCTCCTGGGTATGGCCTCTTTATGCTCTGAATGGGAAGGGACTGGGGCCGGGGGCCCGGGTAGGTCTGCTGGGGCATCCGCTGCCCATGTGTGCCAAAGGGGCTGATGCCAGGTGGCCGGGGCTGATTCATGCCCATGGGAGGGCCACTCATTCCCGAGGGTGTCATGCCAGCCGCCATGCTTGCAGGGTTCATGCTGCCCCCCATGGAGGCAGGCCCCCGAGGCCCGGGCTGGTTCATGAATTGGCTGTTATACGCCTGGGTGGGACCCATCTGGAAAGAGGAACAGACCTTCAACGGGAGAAGAAGAAAAAAAAAAAAAAAAAAAGAATAAAATGCCACATGCATTGAAAGTGCAGGGAGGGAAGGGTGGGGAGGTGGGAGGCTCGGGGTGGTGGTGGCGGGCACTTTCCTGTGTGGATGCGACTGGTGCCCAGGCCCCCAAGGGCTGCCAGACTCCAGGGCTCAGTGCTGCCCTCTGCAGGCCGCACAGGAAAGATGCAGCCCGAGAAGTGTTAGGAGGTGGGGAGCGGTCACTCCAATGCACAGGCAGCATTTCCAGGGAGGCAGGCAGGAAATGGGGAAGAGGGTGCAGGGGCGGGGAGGGGCATGGGAGGATGGAGGTGGATGAGGATGGAGGCAGGAGCCCCTTTCCTGGTAGCCCTGGCCCCGCCCTTGGTCCTTGGCCAATGGAGATACACCCTCCACCCACGAAGTCTGATGTGGCCCCAGCTTCCACCTCTGCCTCCTGAAGCTAAGTCCTGGGCAGAATTCACAGACAGGCTGACTAGGAGAACACTGGCCTTCAGAGGTCACCCAGGGGACAGACTGGTGACAAGGCTATTTTAGACATTGGGTCCAGTCTTCGGTGAATAGGGGCCCAGAGAGCAATATGGAATCTCTTCCCATATGCAGACACACGGGAGCCTCCAACCCACGCAGAACAAACACAGGCACCCAAACACGTCCCCGACACCACACCCAACCGCAGACGCACCCACATCCTAACACACAACCTCCATGTGCTTCCAAAAAACCCCAAAGGTACCCTGACCCTATCAGTTCCCTCAGCACATGTGGCCCCACAGGCACCAACATCCCGACTCTGATTTCTCAGGGGCTGTCTGCCTGGCTGGCTGGGTGAGGCTGGACCAGGACTAGCGGGGCCCTTACCGGTCCATACTGGTTTATATCCTTATTCTGCGTCTCCTGCAAGGCTGCCACAGTGGCCGTGGCCGTGGCCGTGGCCGTGGCTGCTGCTGCTGCCACTGCAGCTGCTGCTGCAGCGGCCGCCGGCTGAGTGAAGTCAGCGGGCGGCCTGGTGTGCGGAGGGATGCCCATGCCTGCAGGAGCATTAGGACCCCCAGGGTAACTGCGAGGGAGAGAAGGAAAGAGTTAGACTGACCCGAATCTAAAGATGAACCCACAGCAAGCCTTGGGCTGAGAGAAAGAGGATGAGGCCATTCTAGGCCTTTCTTCCCCCAGCTCACAGATGAGGGAGGTGTCTAGACTCAGAGCCCAGAGGGGACAGGGGCCTCCTCTGGGTTGACAGCCATTTCAAGCCACTTGCTGATTACTAAGCCGCTGTGTTCCTGGAGACCTGGCTGGGTGCTGGCCAGTGCTCACTCTCATGTGCACCAAATCACCGTACCTCAGCTGCCCCGCTCAGCCCATCTTCTGGAGGAGGACCCCGAGTTTTAGAGAACCCGAGCAACATGCCCATGACTCCAGAGGTGAATGGCAGGCTGGGGATGCAGCTCCAGATGTGCCTGGCAACTGCGTTTAACCACCAAGCCAAGCCCTGCTTTGCTGACACCTGGCAGGGCTTCGGTCAGCCCTGGGGGAGGGGTGAGGCTGAGGAAGTGGTCTTGGACTGAGCAGAATGGCAAGAGGAGGCATGGGCATCTCTGCCCCACCCACATCTCCAGAGTGCCTTGCTGCAGTTCCCTGCCCTTCCTCCCTTCTTCTTGAATCAGGGGATTCTCAGCCTCTGCATAGCTATGCCTCCATAACCGGCATGGCAGGGCTGATCTTCCTCCATCTAGAGCTTCTCTTGAACTCCCCTGATTCGGCTCTCTCAGTGTCTTCTGACTTATAAAGAGACGAGGAGAAGGGTCATTTTGAGGAATGGTATCCTTCTATCACCATGGGCCTGACGGCTGTCAACCACCACCCAGCTGCTGTAGTGCTGGGGAGCACGGGCCCCAAGAATGGTGGATGACTGTGTCCCTTCAACTAATGGGACAACTGAGGATGACAGAAGTGCCGGGGATTGCCCATACTTCGCAGGCCAGGAAGCATGGCGCTGGGATTTAAGTCAGACTCTTCTGCCTGGACTGGGGAGAAGAGTAGGGCTATCCACCGCTTCCGAAGGCTGCTGCCTTGGCCAGCCCTGCTCACCTGGCCCCGAAGCCCCCGCTGCCAGGGTAGTTGGGCCGGCCGTACATGCTCTGCTGGATGTAGGGCTGCGCAGGGCCAGCCTTGGCTGAGAACTGTTGCTGCTGCCCGGCAAACTGGGGGGAGTTGAGACCGGGGTTGCTGGTGGTCATGCCTGAAGCCATGGGGTTACCGCCTGGATTCATGGGGTTGTTGGCATTGGCCATAGGATTCCCAAGGACCTGTTGGCAGAGAGAGTGGTTGTCACCCAAGCAGGTACCCCAAATAACATGGAGTAGAAAAAGAAGTGTGTGTGGGGTGGGGGTGGGGTGGGGGGGGGCAGTGGAGTGAAACAGACGAGAGAGGAAAAGGAAAACAAGGGGGCCGCATTCATTGGGTGGGGGTGGGGGCAGTGGAGTGAAACGAGGAAGACGACAGAGGAAAAGGAAAACAAGGGGGCCGCATTCATTGTTCCTGGAGTGTACAAATGATGGGAAGGGGAAACCCAGCCTGGAAGCAGCATAGATGGGAGAACCTCAGCCTGTGGCAGAATGAGGTGAGGCTGGGCCTGCACCGAGCAGCAGGCAGGAAAGCACCGGACCTCTGAACCCTCCATCCCTTCAAGGGGCCTGGACACCCACAGGGTCAGCCACACAGAGGCCCCGTGTAGCTGCTCTGTGAAGGCAAAGAGAAGCAGACTTGCCAGCAATGGAGGGCAGCAGGATCCTGGCTGAGGGGTCTCTGTGGCATGAGACCACAAGTAAACCCAATGATTCCCTCCTGGGTAGCAACTAGCCCTGAGCCTTCCTTGTGGCTGTGGCAGAGGCCCCGCGGAATTGTGGGGGAGGGGGAAGGAGTGGAGGAAAGAGGAAGGCACAAAAGTGGGACGGAGGGTTGACTATGGGCCTGTCACACGTTTAGGCTCAATATTTTGCTGAAATCTGACCCAAGTCATCCAGGGTCAAAGACCCCCTTATGTTGAAGACCTGAGGCCATTAACACGCAGAAAGTTCTTCTGTTTAAACAACCAAAGTAAAGGTGGGTTGGGGAAGAAGCCCTTACTGTCTGTTCGTCAGATGAAAACCATTCCCCCAAAAAGGCACTAGGATGGGGCCATGCCCGGGGGCCAGCTGCTGCCCTCCGGAGGCAGGTTCAGACCCATCCTAGGTAGAGGCGTGTCCACAGTTGGGTATGCCCTGAGTGTTGGTCCTTTCGGCTGGGCAGAGCCTGGGAGGGCAAGGAGGGCTGGCATGGCATGGTGGTGACCTGGAGGCCCCAGGGCTTCAGGGATGGTCCTGCCTGGGAGGGGCTGTGGCTGGGAGCAGTACAGGCTCTTACCTGGCTCTGGGATGTGTTGGTCACTCCCCAAACTGTAGTGACCACAGAGAGGGAGCCGGGAGGCTGGTTGGTGTTCTGCTGCCAAGGGACAGGGTCATAGGGGAAAGACCCATCACTGCAGAGGGAAACAGAGGAGAGTCCTCAGGGTCTGCAGATGACTCAGATGGGACATGCCCCATCACCCCACAATGCTCTGCAGCTCCCAACGAAGCCTAGGCAGTTCTGGATCCACCGGGCCCGGCACAGTGCCCAATGCAGGTGTGGCTCGCATGGTGACAGACTGTTCAAGAGTGACCATCTCTCCCCCTGTCACTGCAGAGGTGCCACCCCCATAGCTGTCCTCTCACCACAGCCCACAGTCCATAGGCCATGCTATCAAGGTGGAAAAACAAGACCCGCAGGCCCCTCTAAGCTTCTCTTTCAACCACGCTCTGACTCAAAGTGGCTCTCCGGAAAGAGCTCTTGTTCCCCAGCACCAGCTTCCCCTCCGAACTTCTCAGAAAAGGTTGGAAGGGCCCTAGTCAGAGCATTGGCTCTTCCCACTTCCTCCCAACCCTTCACGGCAGGTTGGCCACCCAGCTCGGCCATTTGGCCTTTGGAAGGAGTTCCTTCTGTTACTCTTTCTTCCCAACTCCAGGTCACAGGTACAGGCCTGCCTGTCTACTATACTGCGTCCCTGCTCCCACTCCAGTCTCTTGTGTGCATCCTTGCCCAGCTAAGCTGCCTCCAGCACCTAATGCACTGGACACAATCAGAGATCATCAAGGGCACCACTGTTCACAAGGCAGAGTCCAAACTCACACCGCAGAATGATTTACCTTGATCCCACCCCACTTTGTTTCCTGCCTTCGCTCCCAACTCTCCCAGAGCTCCCCTAGTTGTTCTCATGTCTTCCCAGTTGCCTTGCTAGCCCAGCAGTACCCACCTTGTTTGGTGTGATATCTCCTGAGGAATCCCCAAACATCAGAAGCCAGGACTTACCCTCCCCTGCACACAATAAATGCTCAATAATGGCTTCCTGTCAGTTGCTGGGGTGAAGGTGGAGAATGAGGTCCAGCCGACTCCAGGGAGAGGACCAGAGCACAGCTCCAAAAGGGGCTGGCAGAGTCCTGGTCCCTAGGTGTGCTGGGTTGGGGCTGCCTTGTCCCTGCAGACTCTACTCTAAAGCCGAGAGAAAATCCCAGACACCGCCTCAGAAAGGACAGAAAAGCAGAGCGCCCACATCTGTGGTCCCACCTGGGCCCACAGCATTCCACTGGGGGTGAGGCCTGCAAGGCAGCACTGCTGGGTACCGGAGGGCCGAGGTGGTGGTGGGGATAGAGGAGGGAGGCATAGCAGGAGAGCATCTCGTGCCTCTGTCAGGCTTGTGCCTAAGGTGGTGGTGGGGATAGAGGCACTCTGGAGGAGGGAGGCATAGTAGGAGAGCATCTCGTGCCTCTGTCAGGCTTGTGCCTTCATCACAAGAAGTTAACAGAAGGCACAGATCTTCACTCATGCCTGGAGACCTCGTACCCCAGCCGAGAAGTCAGTGCAGGCCCTAGAGGCTGGGGAGACTGGGAGTGGGGGTGTTGGGAACCAGCACAGATCAGGACTTCTAGGAGGGAGGCCGGTCCTGCACCACAGACACAGAGGGGAGCTGGGGGCCTGGATCTTGTGCTTGCTCCTTGCTGGGCAGTGCCCTCAGCAAAGCGAGTCGAGTCTGGTAGGTACCCTGAAGAAGTGGGCAGACTGAAGGGCAGAGTCATGTCACTGTGTGGCCATACTGGTTCTCCCTTTGCCTGTATATCCTCTGTGCCTGGCCAGCCGCTGGCTTCCTTCCTGTCTCTGCTCAGAAGTCACTGGAAGGGCCTGCCCCAACCCCCTGGTATAAGAGCAACCCCACTCCACTACCTTTACCTCTTACTCTGGCTTTTTTTGATACCCTGGATACAAGTCCTAGACCTGCCCCTTCCTGGTTCAGGGCCCTGGTGCAAGTTCCCGAGCCTGACTGTACTCAGTCCCCACATCTGCAAAAATGGGTGTAAGAATTGTACCTTACCCTCCACCCTCAGTGTTTTCAAGATGCTGGTCATGAAGTATGAGGTCATGGCATCAAAGTAGCATGACGGGGGGTGGGGTGGGGAAGGGGAAAAAAGCAATCAAGTGTGATCACATAGTGAGGATATTATCCTTGAACTTACGTCTTGATTTCTACATACACAAATATATGTGAGCCCTGGGTCATGGTTTAATACATGTATTTACTGTGGGTCAGGTAGGTTTGAACAACACTGGCCCTGGCAGCATAAGCCTGATGTGGCTCCAAGAGGAGAATGCGGACAAAAAAGCTTTCTCAACTGGAAAGCGACACAGACTTTAGCATTACTCATGACTTCTGGGGGAAAACAGCAGGCGTAGCACTGGGGGGAGAGGAGCTGTCCTCAGGGAACCCAGCCCTTCTGCCCGGCCCCTGCCAGCCAGACAAGATCATGGGTCATCGGAAAGGGGGCGTGGCCCAGAGGCAGAGGCCAAAGGTGACAGGCAACTGACACTCTGCATTTGGGTGGGGCAGAGGAGCACAGGAAAATTAAGAAATGAGCCTGCAACTCAGTGCAGCTGGGATGGAAGAACCTCTGCTCTCCCGGGAGGTCACCAGGGACCTGGGGCTGGCATGCCAGAGCTGGAAGGGAAGCCCTACAGGCTACGGTTCTAAACAACAAGGAGGAGGAGACCCCTCTACAGCCGCTCTCCTGTCTTGTCCTAGGTGCAGGTAGACTGAACCCAGGACTCCCAGCAACTGAAGCCAGTCCTCTCTTCCCAGAACTGCCCCACAAGCTCCCATCAACCCTGCAGGCTGACGACCGCTTCTGATGCCTGGCAGACTCAGGAAGTAAAGTCCCCTGGGAGTCCCCAGAGCCCAGCAGGGCCCCTCCTGAGTCCTGGGGGCCAGCAGCTGCTGCCTCACCACCTCAGGCGGGGAGGCCCCGGCTCACCAGGATACTTCACAGGCCCACAAGCTCCAACTGCCTGCCGCTCCGTGGGTGGGCCTGTGGGCGGAAACCAGCTCTTTCCTGTTTTGCCCCCTCCACCTCAGACTCAGTGAGAAGCAAACTTAACCAATGTTCTCAAACTGGGCAACCCACCGTCTGGCTGGAAGGCTCACCCCAGAGACCAGGTGCGCACCGGCATGGGATGTGGGACACCTCTGTGTGCATGGACATGGGCCTGCTGGCATGCTGCTATGCACGTGTGGGGGAAGAGATGGGCACGCACACACAGGGGCGGTCTCGGGGCTTGCTCGCCTCCATTTGCACCTGCTGTAGAAGCAGAAGTGGCAGCCGCACCGACAGGGCTGTGACTCATCTCCTGGGGAGACAGCTCCTGCTGTAGCAGTGAAGGCTCTCGCCCCCGCAGGCGTGGCAGTCAGCCTTGCCGATGCCTCTGCCCAGACTCAGACATCACCACTGGGGGCCTGCCCGGCTCCCTGTGCCCAAGGATTAAGGAGGGACAAGCCAGGCTTCTGGGCTCCGCCAAGGTGGGAGGGGACCCAGGGTGATGAAGAGAAGACCTAGGGCCCTGTGGTGGTTGTCCTGAGGCCTCTTCCCTCCTCTGGCAAGCACTATTTAATCACCAGATAAGCTTAGCCCAGGTCAGAGGTCCCTGGCATTTTAGGGCTGCCCACTGGGAACGACTTTCCTTCTCTTGTGCATCATACCTGGCTGCAGTGCGGAGGGAGGCCAGAGCCCCTGGGATCTGAGAATCCCAGTCTTAGTAATCCTGCCCAGCTCTGTACACCCTCTATCTAGCATAACCTGGACTCAGGCCATAAGCTGCCCCTAGCCACAGTCCTGTCCAGCCAGAACTGCCCCCAAGAACCCTGTTCCACCTACCGAGGCACCTGTGCCAGAAGCTGCTTGGAATCTCATTGGTGTTCTCCTGCCAATCTACCATGGAGGCAGCTGCTTTCCCACCTCTGCACCTCTTCTCAGCCTGGGATGCTTCATCCTCACCCTGAAAAATGCCGCTCATCCTTTCCAGGCTCCTCCTCTAAAGGCTACTTCCTCCAGGAAGGCCTTGCCATGTGCACTGGCCTGAAGTCCACTTGTTCCTCATGTTCCTGGGGTCTGAATGAGCCTTCCTGCCTCTTTCCTTCTGCCCTAGGAGCCCCAAATTCTTAGGCTCCTTGTGCCTTCACACACCTTCAGGGCTCAGGAACCTCTACTAACCAAAGTGCCAGAGAGAAACAGCACCTCTACGTGCTTACCCTCAGAGGGCTGTCTGAGAATGAATGAATGCGTCCATGCATTAATTCTGATTGTAGACTACCTGCGGTGTGCTTGTGACTACACGGGCACTAGCACCCAGGGAGTGGGAGGTCCTGTCCTCCAGGGAGAGAGACAGAGGGAAGCTAATGAAGCCACTACTCACTCTGTGTCCTCATCTGTAAAATGGGGACGATAACAGCCCTTCTCTCAGAAGTTGTCATGAGGATTAAGTGAGCTCACATGTGTGAGGCAAAATGTCCAGCACACCTCGGGCACCCTAAAACTGTTGACTGCTGTTATGGATGCTGTTGTTATGATTTACTGAGTGGCTTCTAGATGCAAGCAACTGTGTGAAGTGACTCATCTAAGAACTTGTTTAATCCCTATAAGTGGGCTCAAAAGAAGCATCCCTTAGGAGCTGAGGCTCGCAGGGTGCTTCCTAGAGCTCATCAGGGTAGCTTGCCAGGTGGGCATGACCACACTCCACCATCTCAAGGAGCTCAGGGTCTGATTAGGTAGCATTTCCGTGTACAAAGATGGTTATAACACAAGGGAGCACAGGCTACAAAGGTGACTCAGGAGCCCACAAGAATTCCAGAAGTGGTACAGTTTCTTGGGGGTTCTCAGGAAAGCTGTCTTTGGGAATCCACCCAGCATAAAGGGACAGAGGATAAGGTCTAGCCTCAAAGACCAGCTGCAGAGAAAACTCAAATAGTGTCCCAGGAATAAAACACTTTCTACATTAAATCACTAGCTTTGGCCTGAACTCCGATGAAATGTTTTTGACAGTAATATTCAAATGGCAGAGGGAGGCCTTGCAGAACAGTGCTTAGCTATCTGGGCTCTCAACTTAGACTCTTTGGGGAGTCTTGGCTCTGCCATCAATGATTTCTATGATCTGGGACATGCTGCTTAAGTCAACCTCAACTTTTTTAACTATAAAATGGGGACTAACACTCTCCTAGGATGAAATAAACAAATATAGGAAAAACTGAGTGCAGTGTCTGGCAGAGAGCCCCTGCTCAACTGTATTTACACGTTTCCATTTCCAGAGCCTGATTACCATGTAGGTGCCCATATTAACTTGATGATACAATGATGGTGTTTAGAAGTTTTGCAAATATGAGATCAATGGGACAGGGTGTTGTTATCGTTCGTGCCTACTGAACATATCTTCTAAGCCTCCGAGGCTTTCCTCAGTGTTCCTTTGTCCACCCTTCTCGAGCTAGTGAACTCCTACCTATACTTCAAAACCTAGTATGGATTCTCCCTTTTGTGACTCTCCTAAGGCATTTTCCTTGGTTCTCTCAGCACATTTTTCATATATTTTATGAAGAGCTCTTCATATTGCATTTAGAGTAGACATGTCTGTTTGCAAGCTCCACAGGCAGTGACCGGTTTGCTCAATGTGAGAAAATGAGTAAAGCCCAGAAAGACGGCGGGGTGATTCTTGGTTCCTAGGCAGCTTTTGTGTCAGTGTCTATAGACATTCATTGCACTTCTAACGGCCACTTTATCTGAGAGAAAGAACGAATTCTGATTAAGGGTATTGTCAGACCCTAATGAATTTCCCTGATCCGGCTATATTGGTCCCATCTCAGTGCAAGCCTGTAGTGTTACCACTAATGAAACACAAGTCAGTGAGGAGCAGCAGCTCCCACCCTCTTTAATTTAGGGGACCCATTAACAGTGATCACCATCATCACAAAGACTAGGGCCTGCTTCCTTTTCTCCCTGCGGTGAAACTTAGAGAGGAACTTGTGTAGCTAACTGCGTATTGGAGAGTTTTTAAATTTTTTCAGTAAGAAGGAAGGGAAAGATCCGTGCATCTTGGCAATCTGGAACTGATGGAGAAGGATTTTTGGGTCCTTCAACCCCTCTTTCACTGTTTTCGTGTTTTCTTAAAAAAATTTTCTGGGTGCAAGAAGTATCGATTATAAACTGCAAAAAACAACTATAAATGAAAGCAGTGAAGGTGGTGTGGTATGACCAAGGGAAGGAGAAGACTAGGGGGTCAGTCCTGACTGACCTCTTCTTTGCTGCCTGACCACAAATGACCACATCAGAGTTGGACAGCACCAGGCTGACGCTGAGAGAATAAAGACTAGTCTATGGGGCTCCCTGCGGGCCAGGCCAGGTGATGAGCATGTTTTAAGTCCTGCACTGCTGTTTTTCCACTTCCGCAGAAGAGGAAACTGAGGCAGGGAGGTTATGAAACTGCCCCAGAATCGCCCAGCTAGAATATGGTGGAGCTGAAACTTGACACCTGGCAGCCTGGCTCCAGGGCCTGTGCCCCAATCTGCTATAAAGGGGAGCACGAGGGCCCTACCCAGGATTGAGGGGGGCACCAGGGCCCTGCCCAGGAGCCTCTCCTCTGTGGGCCACAAACCCCTCAGAGAGAAAGAGGAAGGATGGCACCCCTTGGTCTCAGAATCTTCCCCAGCAATTGTGGGTTTTGACTGTAATCAAATTAAGAGTGTAAACAAGATTTATTAGGCTTTTAATTACCTTTGCAGAACTGATTTGCATACAGACAATGTGCTAATCACAAATGGCTTTTTTAACCACTCATTAAAAATGTGGGAGTGGAAGACAGAAACGTTTGTTGGCAGCAGGTCCGGGTCACTGCAGGGACCAGGAAGGGGTCCTGCTGCTTGGCCATAGGCCCGAGCCCCTTCCTGCCCTGGGCTGGCCTCCCTTGGCCTTCTGTGCAGCGCTCTGTGCACCTGTGTGGTGGTGAGGACAGCATCCACCTACATCTCCGTGGCAGGACTGAACAGGGAGCCAGTCCAAACACTGCTCCACAAACCCCAAAGCTCTACCCAAGACATGGCTACTCAGGACTCTTTCTGACCACCATCACTCTCGGGGACACTGTAGGGCTATAGTGGCCTGACCCTATAGTGCCACCATATGCCCAGTGGCTTGAGGGGTCATGGGCCTTGCTTAGAGGCACAGTCCCCAACTCAGACCTCGTACTGTGGTGCTGACCTCTGTGGCCTGTAACAAACGGGACAGTGATGCCCAAGCTACAAAAATCCAACAGTCTAGAGCTCTCTTGCCCTTTCCAGTTTGCTTGTCCTCAGAGCCTTCAGACAAGGACCCGAGGAGTCAAACAATTGGGTACCTCTGAGCACCAAGTCCTGAACACCCCAGGGTCCCCAAGCTCACCCTGGCTCAATGTCTCCTTAATGAAAAGGCAAGTCATTCAACACAGTTGTGGAGTATGATGGTCAGAATAGCTTCCTGTCTATGAAAGTATAGCTGACCCTTGAACAACGCAAGTTGGAACTGCGTGGGTCCACTTTAAAGCAGGTTTTCAATTGATCTGTGTGGTTCAAACCTGTGTTATTCAAGCTGTCGTCTGAGCTGCTTCCTGACAGTTAGCTCGACCATCTTCCTTCGTCTGAACCCTTAGGCCAAGCTTTCCTGTCACTGAACCGTAACCCTGCCTTCATCTGCCAGCTCCCAATTTTGCCTCACTAAGTCCTGCCTCCACGATGAATGAGATTAAATTCCGGCTGCAAAGACACCCTTTTTCTCTTTAACCCCAAGACTGAACTGTCTCATGCCTTTAGATCAGCTCAGCAAAGGGCTGGCTGTGGTCCAGATCTATGGCACTCTGCGGCCCGAGTGGTCATGGCCAAGCAGGTCTGAGGCAGGTTTCTAGTGGGGGCTGTGGGGCCCTGGCCTGCCATCAGCAATAGCTTTACTGAAATGACTTGGAGGAAAGAAGGTTGGGGAAGACCTGAGAGGTGGGATGAAGAAAGGCAGGATGATTCTCAAGGGATGGGACTGTTGTGGAACTAAAATGTAACAAAGCTAAACGCCAAGTATGTAACTTGGGCTGCATTCAGCCACAGCCTACGCTCAGTGACCCGGCAGCAGTTCAGATGGAGAAGACTCCAGCCAGGAACAAAGGGTGGAAGGGGCACGGAGGTGGATTTTGCTTCTCTAGAACAGAGGTTCTTAACCACAGGTGATACCCCCATAGCCCCAAATGCATGAGAGCACTTTAACAATGCCTGGGCTGCACTGGAACGATCAAGTGGGCAGGGACCAAGACATTAAAGGCCCTGCAAAGTCCCGCACCATGAAAAATTACTCTGCCCAAAGGCCAGCAGTATCCTGAGAAACATTCACAGGAGCGGGGTTGTTCTACAAGCTGGAGCAGTCCTAGGCCCGGACGAGGGTGGGATGAGGCAGTAATCCTGTGTGAGGTGTGGGGGTGGTGGGCTTGCTGTCACGCACAGTGCTTCTGACTGAGGCAGGTAGCCCCGTGTCAAGGGCCACCCTACCAGGGCAGGGGCTCTGAAGTCTCTTCTGGCTTTGAGAGTCAATAGCCTCTAATTCGACTTATGAAGCATGGCCAACGCCCCACTTCCGGGCGGCACCTCAATGGTGTGACTCAGATCTCCTGCAGTGAGCTCTGGGCTGCAGGTGCCTCGGTTGGGATGGGTAATGAGCCGAGCTCTGACTGTAAATGCCCCTCCTGGTCATCAGAGGGGACCTGCGCGGTGAGAGCAGACAGCATGACAGGCCTTGTTGTTCCAGGGTCAGCCCACAGAGCGCTAGGAGAGAGCATCCCCAGCACAGCAAGGGACCGGTGAGATAATTAACTGGGGAACTTGCCGGTCCTGACCACGTGCTCCTCCTGAGGCTGGTGCAGGGTGGACTGGCCAGTTTCTCAGCACCTGGAGGCTTCTGGCAAGGCTGGCCCAGTGTTGACCAGCCTAGCCTCATTTGGCTCCTGCCTGGTTGGCCTGGGCTGGCTCTGTCCCCATCTGGGGGTGGGACCAGCAGCCTTGTGCCCTTCCTGGGCCCCTTCCAGCCCTAAATATCTCTGAGTTTGCCCGAGACCCTGCTCAGAAAAGCGGGAAAACACTGGGTTCAGGACTGCTAACCGTCCACCAGAAGTCTGGAATCCAAAGAAGGGGCGGCCCGCCCCCGCCCCCGAAGGGACAAAGCAGTCAGGCTGGGTAAGACCAGCGCTTTCAACCTCTGTTTTGATGGGGAAGAAACAGCACGCACACAAGGGGACTCAAACAACAACGGCCTTTTAGAAAACATAACATCCCCACAGGTGCTCAGAGGCCGTTTCCAAGATCTGGAGCCTGAGGGGTGGCTGCCCAGCACACACCCAAGAAGCCCCCCGCCCAGCCCTGGGGGCATGCACCCACTCACCTGTGTGACAGAGTGGGTTTCATGGAGCTCATGGAGTTGAGGGGGGGCTGCATGGGGAGTTTCCCGGGGGGGTCGCTCTGGCGGCTTTTCTGATGTCGGAGCAGCAGCAGGCGGCCGAGCTCCTCGCACCAGGAGGACAGCAGGGCTGCAAGGAAGGACAGGATGGTCAGTGGGCACCTCGGCCACCACACCCTGACACTCCCGCCCCCATCTCAGCCTCCCAGAGTGGTTCTTGTCGACACTGGCTTTGGTCTCATCTTTGTGTGACACCAGGAGAGTCACTAAGCCTGCTCAGGAGGCCTCAGTGCTCTTACTTGTCGAGTAGAACTAACACCCCTGAAGGAGGACTAAAAAGCTTCTGTTGCTGTAGATCAGAGGAGCGTGATTTTAACGGCAAAGAGGAGAGTCAAGACGACGTAGGGGACAGCGGAGATGATGCTCAAGGAAGAGCCGGACGGAGCCAAACGAAGACCTTGTGTGGCCCAAGTTTACGAACTACTGGCTGCCCCCAGACTTCTCAGTGAAGCCCGCCCCCTGGATTCTAGACAAGCAGCTCAATGTGACTTCTCCCCATGCGTGGGGCCAAAACACAAGGTTTAAACAAAATCCGGAGCCTTCCTGGTGCCTGTTGACAATCCCAGGAGTGCCTGCAGGTTCTCCCTGAAACTCCTCCCCACAAAGGGCCCTGCAGAGCATGTGCGCACACACCTTCTGGTCTGCTGCACTGCTGGGCAGAAGGTTAGGGAGGACAAAGGATTTCCAGGGCAGAGGGTGGCTCAGGGGTGGGGTGAGGCCCAAGTTAGAGTCCCCAGAGGCACCAGAGGCACATGAGAACCCTCCATACCCAGGCTTGGCGAGGCCTTCAAAACCAAGAGAAAAGCAGCTAGAATTATTTGGGTGCTGGGAAAAAGTACAACTTTCTTTTGTCCTTCACTATTCCAATGTGGCCACCAGAGGTCAAACATACCCTGGCCAGTCCTTCCAGAGTGCATCAGGGAGTGAAATTGTGGAGGGAGTGCAGAGTCCGGAAGGCTGTGTGACCCTAAGGAGCTCACAGACCCTTGCTGGGCCTCGGTTTGCTTGCAGGGGAAGAGGAGTAATGACTCTTGCCCTGCCTTCCTCCCAGGGCTGTGGTGAGGGGCAGCTGGGGGAACTGCTGAGACTATGCAGAAGCAAAAAGGGGTGACCGCACCCTAGCCAATGCCCCACTCCTGCCATGAGTACTTCATCCAGGCTGATCTGAGAGTTCTGAAAGTAGCCAACCTGTTCAGGTGGTCAGGAGGAGCCTTTTGAACCTAGAATTGCTCAGCCTCTTGGCCAGATGCACAGCCCACTCCCTCATTTCCAGGGTCTTCCATCTGGAAGCAGTGCAAGATGCTTCTGCATCCTTTCCTAGGATCTGCCCGGTATGATCCAGGACATCAGCTATTATCCTCACTCTACAGATGAGCAGACTGAGGCTCAGGCAGGTGTTGTGCAGTGCAAGATGCTTCTGCATCCCTTCCTAGGATCTGCCCGGTATGATCCAGGACCTCAGCTACAGATGAGCAGACTGAGGCTCAGGCAGGTGTTGTCACTCACTCACAGTAACACAGCCAGTGATGAGTAGAGACACAGATGGTGCCCCTGCGCCATGCCGTGTTGGTGGAGCCCAAGGCTGGACCAGAATGTTGAGAAGATGAAGGGCAAAAGCCAAGTGGCAGAAGGCAAAAGCCAAGAGGCATAGTCCTAGCCCTCCCAATTCTAAGAGGAACCCTTCAGGCCTCATTTAGCTAGCACTAGGGAAGACGCCCATATACACAATGCCCCAGAGTGGCTGGGCAGGGCTGCCACTTCAAACCACCCAGATCCTGGACAGGGTTCCCTGTCAGCCCAAGGCTCTGAGAGGCAGGGCTAGGGACCCTCTGAGGCCCTGCCGGGCTCTACCCCTGCCCAGGCAAGCTCTTTCAGGAGTAGGAAGCAAGTGGGGCCCAGCAACTCGGGTCTTTTCCTGCCCCTCACTGAGTGGGCAGGGGCCAAGAGGCAGCTTTTAGGACGAGCAGAAGAACCCCGTCCATCCAGTTCTGCTGTGAGCTGGCCAGAAGGGAGGTGCACACATTCCCAGGGGCGAGCTGGGGGCCCAAGGGCAAGGGAAGGTCAGTGGTTCTTGCATGAAATGGGGTGGGGTGGCGAGGGGTCCCACTGGGGTTGCTGGCCCCTGTTCAGCTTGTGTGGTGTGCAAAGACGCCTGACCAAAGAAGCATGTGGGGGCCAAAATCCAGCCTGTGCTCTCTCCCAAAAGGGCACCTGTTTCTCAAAAGATGTATCTTGTCGCTCTCTTGTGGGGCTCACCTGCCACCCTGCACAGCAAGGAGGGTACTAGAGAGTAGAAGCCCCCAGCCTGGCATGTGTTTGCCCAGAAACCATGGCAAAAAGCCCCTCGAGCGGGTGCCCAGCACACATCTGCAGCAGCTGGAGGGGGAAACAGCCTATTGAGACAGGCTGGAACAAACGAATGAATTTCCAGATTGCTCCATTCTTCTCCCAGGCCCCTAGTTACTGCTTCTTGTGCGGGGGGCACTGGGCATCTGGAAACTCATTAGTACGCCAAGCACGAGGCACTGGATCGCAGAGATGGAGGGACTGCTCGGCTGCCAGCACAAAGGACGGCCGCAGATGGTACGCCCGCTGCCCGCCCTGCCTGAGCCGCCCCTCCTAGCTCTCGCTCCTTCGGGGGCCACCATGCCACGCAGGAGGGATGGGAGACTCCATGGGGGCATTCAGAGTTTTCCTTCAATGTCACGGGCGAACCCCCTAGTTGGTCAAGAACAGCTCTCATCTTCCTATCATTATTGGAGTGATTTTCCTTAAAGGGAATAAAATAAAGGGAGGCCGGTGGCGTAGCAGGGCCTGAGATACTGTGAAGAGATGGGATGTGTGTATGAGGCAGTCACGGCACAACAAAGATGCCAGGACAGCCACGTTTCCGCAACCAAGAGGGAAAGCGTGGGGAGCGAGGAAGCACCACCCCTCACCTACTTGGCCTGAGTGGCCGGTAATCACAGTGGCACACTGGCAGACACATGGTGGGAGGATGCACGGCGGGCAGACCCAGTGCATGCTCTCATCATGGCGCAAACCAACACAGGCTGTTCTGAGGCAAACACCAGTTAATGACAACACATGGGAATTTGCAGTCAAAAAGGGAGTCTGGGCATTGTCAGAACTAGAAGGACCGACAGGCAGGAGGTAGGTTAGGGGATGACAAGAACACAGAGCCTGCACAGTGGGGTGGGTGTCTGGGTGTCTGGTTGTCTGGGTGTGTGTCTGCGTGTGTGCCAGATCTGACTGTTTATACATGGCTGAGCTAAGCTTGCCTCTCTGATGAGGCATGTCCTGCCTGCATTTCTCTTTTGTCCTGCATGTCTCTGCTCTGGAAACTCATTGAGGCAGAGTATGAAAAGGGATCACTGAGCGCAGGCTCTGGGACTAGGAAGGAGCACCAGGCATGAAGAGTCCCAGAATGGGGTGGGAGGGATGGAAAAGGTCTGGTGTGATGTGCACAGAGCACACCAACCATGGGAAGAATTTTAGAGGGACACTAGCCATCCTAAGCTGAGCAGGCAGGGTCAGGAGTGCCCCTCCTACTGCCCGGGCACTCTTTGAGGCCACCCTTCACCTCCTCTGATGAGCACCACTCATCCTAACAGTCTGAGTTCCTACCATTTAGAGCTATGTGACCTCAGGCAAATTATAGAAGCTCTCTGGGCCTCAGTTTCTTGATCCGTTAATACTAATGCTCACTCTTTAGGATTACTATGATTTTCAAATGACACCACCTATGCAATATGTAAAGCAGTATGGTACATAGTAAGCATGGAGTCCCTGAAAGCATTGTGTGTGGTCTTTGGAGAGCAGGGGAGACATCTGCAAATGTGCTCTGTTCCCCGCAGACAGTAAAGCACCTCATGAATGGGAGGAAGCCATCCTAGACCCCTCCAGAAGGTGTCAAGGCAGCCCTGATGGGTACTAGTGCCACACCGTTCAGGAGAAGGGAGAGGAGGGGACAAAAGCCAGCAGGCTGTGGGAAGCGCGGGCTAAGGGTCCTGGCTCTGAAGTCCCATAGACGGGGCTTGAACTGTGTCCTGCCACTCTCTAGCTCCAAGATTTCACACAGGCTGCTTCACCATGTGGAGTTCCAATGTCCCCATCTGTAAAGAAGCTGCCTGCCACAGAGAGTGGACGTGAGCTGTAAATGAGTATTGTCAATCAACTGCAGGGGTATCCATGCACAAGCCGGAAAGGGAGGGAGAATGCGTGGAGACCAAGGGACCCTGTAACCCACACAGCCCCAGACAAACAGCCCCTCAATCCCATACCCATCACTGCCTCGCTTAACACTGGGAAAGCTGGAAAGGCACCAACTCTGGAACTAATCTGCAAGACCTGATCCCAGCTCTGTGTCTACCACCCATGTGACACCTCCAACAACTCATCTAACTTTCCCGTGCCTCAGTTTCCTTCCTTCTGAAATGAGCTGGTGGTAATTCTGCCCCCTACTCATAATTGCTAGGATGAGCCAAGTTACTATGATGAAGTGCAGGAACAGCACCAGACAACATAGCAGGTGCTAGACACGTGTTTGTTAAAATGACAATCAGTGTTATTGACCTTGGTTGGTAGATGAGTGACCACCAGGATGGTTACGGGGCCTTGGTGTCTCTGTCCACCTCTGACCACGGAACATAGAAACAAATGAACTGGCCAGGTGTGCAGCTCAGAAGTTCACAGGACCCTGAGTAGACAACTAGAAGCACCTGTTGCCCTCAGCTATAGGCGCTGCAGAGCAGCCCCAAGTTAGGTGCCGAGGGGCAGAATGAGGACCATACCGTGTCTGCTTTGCTTGAGACACAAGACGTAAAAATCCATTCCCCTTTCAGAAGCAGCTCTGCCTCTAATTCAGCCAGTGGAAAGGTGTCTGTGGCCCTAGAGGGGACATATTCTGGCTTCCCTGAGGTCCCTGGAGGTACACCCTAGAGATAGGGCAGAGCTCAGCTTCCCAAGCTAGCGGCACATCATGAATGGGCGTGGGGTGGGCAGGTCCCTTAGGATCCAGAACAGCTCATGATCCAGGCCCAGATATCTCACTTGGCACAGTCTAGAGCC